ACACACACACACACACACACACACACACACACACACACATATATATATATATATATATATATATATATATATATACGTGCGTGGATAACATACCCTATTGCTCAGATGTATATCTGGCGCAGCTACACCAAACACCACCGAGTTGCGCTTTTCCCTCTTTGCTGGGCCGAGAAGGCCAGTGTCCGTATGTGCCGCCCGTTTCTTATCCACCACACGCATAGTCGCCTGGATGGACTTAGTGGCGTGTGTATCCTTCTCAGCACGTTCTGAAAATAGCATCAGTTCCTCCAGAGCATCGGCATATTCAAAGAAGTCATCGAAGTGATTGTCTACCCACAGACGCTGCGTGAAGAGGTGAGTGAGTGATGGAGTTGTGAGTGGTCGTGTGCATAACTCTCGATACCGGGCGTTATACTGGTCAACGTTGTAAGCTTGCAGTCGCAAGTATTCAATCTACTTGAGTGGGTTTGAGTGGTTTGCATGCTTGTTGTGCTAGATTGAGTAGTTTGGGGATTATGCATGTTTATTGTGTCGTACCATAGCATCACACACAGGTAGCGATACAACGTCCTTTGCACTGCGCTTTCCTTTACTTGAAGCAACAGTCACACTCACTGTATTTATTGTTCGCCAACTACAGCTGATTACTTGACCACTTCCAAACAAAGTGTGGTAATACATGACTATCACCAGCAGCCTTTTTTATAACGCGCGTTGTCTGCTAGCAGCTGCAAAGTACTGTGAAAGACATCAAGTCGAAGGCCAACTACACAGGGTACAAAAGACACACATACCAACACATTCACCACTGGTCTGTATGGTACACACATTTACCAGCACATGTCCGTATGATACACACACTTACCAGCACATGTCTGTATGATACACACACTTACCACCGCATTCACCACTCTGGTCTGTATGATACACACACTTACCACCACATTCACCACTCTGGTCTGTATGATACACACACTTACCAGCATATTTACCACCCTGGTCTGTATGATACACACACTTACCAGCACATGTC